AAGCTTGGAAGCAGAAGTGGCATCCATTTCCAAAATAGCTTGCCTCCAGAAACCCTATGAACCTGGAGAAAGGACGAAAAGTATACAAGTGTCCAGGTCTTTCATTCATAGCGTCACTACGAGTAGCCTACAACTCAACAGCACTTAACAACTTTTGAATAAGGAAGCCCTGGCTGCCTTGTAGATGAGGACTTGTGCTGCCAACCCAAAGGCAGGCAGTTAGAATCCTGCAAGAGAAAGATGGACAGTCCCCTCCCCTGTGATTTACAGCCTCTGACAACCCCCTGGAGGGTCAGTTATGGGTTGGTTCTGACTTGATAGCAGTGAGGAGTCAGAAAGTTACTTTTGAACCTGAAGTAAAGCTTGCTTTGTGTGTGCGAAAGTAACATTTTAGCATGAAGAAAATCAACCCCAGATGAGATGGCTTGATACAGTAACTGGGGCAATGGGGGTTGATGAGTCAGTGAGACTGGCTCAGAACAGGGCAGGCTTCAGAGCTGCTGTACATAGGGTTTCTATGGGTTGCAGACAACTCGACAACACATAACAACAGCAGACAATAGGTGTGGCATCTCGAATAAGATGTTTCTTTTAAAATCACTTGTAATGCCAATGTAGAATAGAAGCTAAACCCACTGCCGTTGAGCCACTTCCATGATGACACTCTGTGGAGTTCCTGAGGCTGCAGCCCTTGCTCTTGTGAATTTGAACTGCTGACCCTTCAGTTTTTCAGTGCTGAATGCACTGTGCCGCCAGAACTCCCTGGAATCTCTCATGCTCATTGCCATGAAATGTAATGCATCATCTCGGGAGGCTGTAAATCACATGAGGGAGATTGCGCATCTTTCTCCTGAGGAGTCACTGGTGGATCAGGAGCACAACTCCTAGCAATTATGCCACCAGAGACTGTTGGAATGAAGATGCTGTTAGGTGTCAAAGTTGACTACAACTCGTAGTGACCCCGTGAACAACAGCTGTGAGCCTTTCCCGATCCTGCGCCGTCGTCACCGTCTCCTCCATGTTCAAGCCGTCGTTATCACCAGATCAGTCCATCTCCTTGAGGGTCTTCCTCAGTGGTCTTCTTTACATGTTGCATCAGTAACTGAAAAGTCAGCAGTTCAAGTGAAGGGGGGGTGTGTGTACAACAAAACATTATTTTACCTATTTTTACATGTGAGATCCAGCAACATTAATTTCTTTAACCATGTTGTGTAGCAGTTTGTACTGTCCATTTCTAAGTTTTCTCATTCTCTATACATGTGCCTGCTCTAGCTATTTCATTTAAATGGAATCATTGTATTTGTGCTTTTAGGTCTGATGTATTTCACTTAGCACAGGGCTTTAAGGGCCCATCCATGTTATAGCATTTCTAAAAATGTCATTTCTTTTATTGCCGAATCGTACTCTGTTGTATGAATCTGCTACATTCTGTTCATTCATGCATCTGCCAGTAGACATTTGAGTTGTTCTTCTTTCTGGCTACTGATGAATAGTGGTGTGGTGACCATTGGTATGGAATTGCCTGCTTGCTTCCCGCTTTCACAATCCCACTTAGAGTTCCTCCACTTTCTCCCTCTTTTTCTGTTTGACTAGCCATGCTACTAGGGGTAAGCTGATATTTCATTCTGGTTTTGATTTACAGTTCTCTAAGAATTGATATATTTGAATGATAGTGTTTGATGAAAAATATGAATATACCATAGACTACCAAAAGAATAAGCAAATCTTTCTAGGAAAAAGTGCAGCCAGGTACTCCTTAGCAGTGAGTATAGCAAGACTTTGTTGGTCTCACATGGTGTTATTCTGTACCATCAAGTCATGTATGACTCATAGGAACCCTATGAATAAGAGATCAGAACTCTGCCCTGTTCTTTGTCATGCTTTGGATATGATATCAAGAGAGGCTAGTCCTGCTACCACCGAGTTTAAATGCTGGGTGCCACTCTGGCCTACTGGTCTAATCATATTTGTGCCCAAAGAGGACCATGAAACTCCAAGCAATGCAGAACTGGTGGCTGATGACTCCAATGATCCGTGCATGGATTATTGATATTGCCAAATGGAGACATTAACTGGAACTGCCTATGGCTCGTGGCCCCGGCGGGGAGCAGCTCAAGTCAGCTTTTTTCTGCTTCCACTACAGCACAGAGGATGTCAAGAGGTCAGACTGTGGAGGCCAGTTCTGGGCCATGCAAGAATGTATGCAGAAATACCCACACCTCTATCCCGAGGATGATGATGATGACGACGATGATGAGAGGAAGCCAGGAGGTTTAGAGGAAACAGCTCTGACCAAGGCTTAAAAAAAAGGCTGCCAAAAAAGAGAACTTAAGCTAATAAACTCTACCAGCCCTGCGCTCCAGTCCTTCCATTTCATATTGATATGGATCTATTTAAAAATGCATTTCAGTCACTTTCAGACAAAGTGTTTTCTTCTGGGTACTGTACTGTACAAAATAACATATTCTGGGTCTTGGACCTTTTACAGATACACTGAAGGGAAAAAAATACACAGTGGGTGGTTACGTGTGTGTGTCCATGTAAACCTATCTGTGAATGTAGCTGCCACTTTTGAATTCTCATTTCTCAAATCGCCCTTGATTTTATCAGTTTAGAATAATGTTCTGAATATTCTTAGCAAACAAAGCATCATTATCCTGGGGAGGGCTTGTTCCTGGAGAACATCATGCTTGGTAAAGTAGAGAGAGGATCAGTGGGAGAAAGGAAGATGCAGATCCTTGTGGAGATTGATTGACACAGTAGATACAACAGAGGACTCAGACTTAGTGAAGATTGTTGGTGTGGGACTGAGCAGTGTTTAATTCTGCTGTATGACTCAGATGACTCAGGACCAACCCAACACCACCTAACAGTTGATAATGGCATTGAGCATCTTTCCATGCATTTATTGGCCATTTGTAAATTTTCTTTGTAGAAATGCCTATTTAAGGGTTTGGGTTTACTTTTTTGCTCAGTATTTAACGTAGTTTGTCGTTTTGTTGTTTCACTCAGTCACTCATTGCTTTTGAGTTGGAACTGTTGTTTTTGTTGCTAGGGCCTGTCTAGTCAAGTACAACTCATAGCAACCCTGTGAACAAACATATCCTGTGCCAACCTCACCATCTCTCTGACACACTCGAGTTCACTGCTGCAGTCATTGTGTCAATTCACCTGGTTGAGGGTCCTCCTCTCTTTCGCCATCCCCTCACTTTTATAAGCATGATGCCCTTCCCCAAGGGGTAGCCCCTCCCAGCAACATGCCCAGAGTATGCAGGACGAAGCTTGGCCTCCTTGCCTCCAAGGAGCACTCGGACTGTACCTTCTCTTGATAGTCCAAGGGATATTTGGTACTCTTCTCCAACACCACAGTTTAGAGGCATCAGTTTTTCTTCTGTCATCCTTATTCATTATCCAGTTCTCAGCAGTACATCAGATAATTGAAAAGACCATAGTCTGAATCAGATGCGCTTAATTACTTAAATTATCATTGCTTCTCAGTAATAGCCTGTCCTATCAACATGCCCAGAGTATGAGAGATCAAGCTTTACTGTCCTTCCCTTCAGGCTATACCTTTTCCAAAATATACCTGTTAGCTCTTTTGGCAGTTCATGGGATATTAAATAACTCTTTTCCAACCCCATAGTTCAAAGACATCAGTTATTCTTTTCTCATATTTATTTACTGTCCAGCACTCAGATGCATAGCAAGTGATGTAAAAGACCATGACCTGAGTTAGACACACCCTAGTCATCAAACTGACATCATTGCTCTTCAGTATTTTGGAGAGGTCTCTAACAGTGGCCTTGCTCAAAACAATATATCTTCTGCTCTCCTGACTGCTGCTACCAAGTGTATTGATTGTGGATCCAAGGAAGATGGAGTTGTTGACAATTTCAGTCTTTTTTTCATCTATCTTGATCTCAGCTGTTGGTCCAGTGATGAGAATTTTTATTTTCTTGATTGTTGAGATGCATTCATATTGAGGGCTGCAGTGTTTAATCTTCTGCAGCAAGTGTTTTAAGGCCTCCTCATTTTCAGCAAGCAGAGTGCTACCTGCATAATGTAAGTTGATGATTCCTCTTTCAATCCTAATGTAACATTTTTTTCATAGAGTTCAACTTCACAAGTTATTTGCTCAGCATACAGATTGTAGATTTGGAGAAAGGATCCTTCCCTTTGTTCTCATACCATTCCACCACCAGTCCTCAAGCTTTTAAGAAATCTGGGGAACAATCTCAGATGCTTTGTTTTTCAATATTATAATGAATAGGTCAAGAAACAAGTCAGAAAATCATTACATTTTATGTAATAAACGTCGGTTCCCATCCCTCCCCATCACTAGCCAGCCTGCCCAGCCTTATACAAGACAGCAAAACACTGTTCAGTTCCACACCATCTAAACATGTTTGAGCCCACTGTTGCAGTCATTGCATCTTACTGTGTCAGTCAATCATAATTGTGCTCATGTAAACCTAGACCAAGAAACTGTTGTGCAAACAGTGCAAGAGACAGGGATATCATGCTTGGAAAGGTGGAGGAGGGTCAGAGAAAGAGAGGAAGACCCCCAACAGGATGGACTGACATGATTGTAGCAATGAACCCGAGTGTGTCAGAGATGATGAAGATGACACAGGATTCTGATCTCAGTTCACAGGATCACTATGAGTTATATTCAACTCAGCAGCATCTAACAAAAACAAGAGGAATAAAGAAATAGTTGGAAAACTAACAGGAAAAACATTCATCACATATTACAATGGTATGCTTGAAATGAAAGTTAAGAATAGAGCTATAACTCAATAGAAGAGATACAACTTAATTAAACAGGTGGTTGTTCTGTGACATCAAGTTGCTTGTGACTCATAGTGACCCTTCTGCACAGTAGCTCTGAAGCCTGACCTGTCCTCAGCCAATCTCACTGTCTCTGACACACCTACTCCCATTACCTCAGTTACTGTGTCAACCCATCTCCCCCAGGGCCTTTGTCTCTTGCTTTGTCCCTCAGTCTTTCCAGTGATGATGCCTTTTTCCAAGGACTGGTCTCTCCTGGCAACATGCCCAAAGTATATGAGCCAGAGCTTCAAACTCTTTTGTCTCCAAGGAGCAACTTGGTTTCACCCTCTCTAGGACAAACCTGTTTGTTCTCTTGGCAGTCCATGAGTTACATACTCCTCTCCAGCGCCACAACTCAAAGGCATTGATTCTTCTTGTGTCATCCTTAGTAATTTTTAGCTCTCTGATGCATAATAAGCAATTGTGAAGACCCAAGCCGGGAACAGGCAAACTTTAGTCTCCTAACTGACATCGTTTCTCTTTAGCACTCTGGAGAAGTCCCTGGCAGCAGATGTTCCTACTGCAATTTGTTTTTTGATTTCCTGACTGCTGGTGCCACGAGTGTTGATTGTGGAGCCAAGCAAACTGAAAGTGTGACATTTGGCCCTGTGTGAGAATCTTTTTCATCTGCTTGTTGAATTTCAATACATATTGAAGACTGCAGTCCTTGACTTTCTGCAGCAAACACTTCAGGTCCACTGCAGTTTCTGCGAGCAAGGTTATGTCATCAGCATAATACAGGTTGTTGATGAATCTTCCTCCAATCCTGAGGTCACATTCTTCCTCATAAAGTGCAGCCTCCCAAATGATTTGTTCCACATGTAGATGATTTTGAATCATGCAGTGTTGCCTTGCTCTGTTCTGGGGACTACTTCCTGATCCAGGTATAAGTTTCATATGAGCATAATCAAGTGTTCTTAGATTCCCATTCTTCTCAGTGTTAGCTACAGTTTGTTCTGATCCACACAATCAAATGCCTTTGTATAGTCAATGAAACACAGACATTCATTTGATGCCCTCTGCTTTCAGCCTAGATCTATCTGACATTGGCTCTGATGTCCCTACTGCTACTTCTAAACTCGGCTTGTATTTCTGGTAGTTCTCTGTTGATGTACTGTTCCAGTTGTTTTGGGATAATCTTTACAAGGATTTTGCTTATGTATGATATTAGTGAAAGATATTATTTAGTCATTTCCATACTCTGTCAGATCCCTTTTTTTGGGATGGGGATAAATATGGATCTCTTCCAGTCAGTTGCCAGGTAGTTGTCCTCCAGATTTCTTGGCACAACCTAGTGAGCATGTCCAGGGCAGCATCTGTTTGCGAAAATATTCCTTATTTTTTGCCATTTCCTTCAGAGTTGCTTGAACTTCCTCCTTTATCAACATTGCTTCTTGGTCACATGTTGTTTTCATGAAATTTTTCTGTGTTAGTCAAATCTTTTTGGTACAATGACTCTGTGTACTCCTTCCATCTTCTTTTGATACTTCTTGAGTCAATATTCTGCCCATAGTATCCTTAGGTATTACAACTTGAGGTTTGAATTTGTTCTTCAGTTCCATAAGAACTTAAAAAAAAGCTTAAGAAATGCTGAGCGATTTTGGCTCTTTGGATTTTCTGACTGCAGCTCTTGGTACATTTTATTGTTATACTTTATCTTCTCAACTTGCCCTTTGAAACCTTCTTTTTAGCACCTTGATTTTCTGATATCTTCGTTTTGCTTTGGCTTTTCAGCATTCTTCTAGTGCAGTATTCAAGTTTTAATTAAATAGTGAAGTTCAGTGACCGAACTTGGAAAAAAATGTATTCTCCATGGAAATGCACCTGTGTTGCTATTAGTTAAGTATGTTTGTGCATGCGCGCACGCATGTGTGTGTATGTGTGTTGATCTTCAAGAGAAAATTTACAGGTGAACATGCAAATTGACCTTTGGACCCCTGAGTCCCTGGAGAATATCAGGCGCTCTAGTTTTTTAGCCTTGCCCCAGATACTCCTCATGCCTCCAGATAAGTAAATGCTTCCATATGTGATCATGTTAACAGAAGAGGCTTGTATAGCTGTGTGAAGAACGCAGGTGTGTGCTCTGGAAGGCTGGAGTCCAGTCTGCTGTGAATGTGCTCCGGGTGGAGCATTGCCTTGAGCCTGGGCGGAAGTCTTGCCCAGACAAATAACCTGTTACTCCTTCCTTACTCAACTGTCTCCCTCCGTCTTCTTCCATTTCAGGTCTCAGATGTGGCTCAGGAATAACTAGCCCAGTGGAGGCAGATAAGGACATACAGTGACCATCTTTCACGGCCTGGTTATCACAAGTTGGGGTTTCACATGCTCTGACCAGTGTGTGGGGCAAACATTATTCATCCATCTCGAGACTGCCCACTAGCTCTACTTCCATTCCCATCCCTTTTATGGAAGTAGCTTTTTGGGCACAGG